GAGAGAGAGAGAGAAAGAAAAGAACCATGGGCAACTGCTTGAAGCGCGCCGCTGGTAACCAACAGGACAATACCACTCTGCTGAGTAACAATCCTGATCCCAACGTGTCCACAAGTGGATCATCGCAGGAGGGCCTTGGACCGCCGATCCCCTACAACGTAATTCACGTACATCACTGTTGTTGCTTTATCATCATTGTTGTCTTATTGTCTGAGTCATTTCTAAGCTCCTTTAATCCACTTGTTATCTCTTTCCATTATCCATTATTCCTTGTTCTTTGAAATATGTATATAAATTTTGGTTTTCAATTCAAAGAAAATTTTAAATGCTATTTAAAAGTTTATATTTTCCATGTTACGCTTAGTCATTGGATTATCGCATCAATTTTATTCTGTATACTAAAAACGTGACATTTTTTTCAAAGTTTTTTTATAATGCTTTTGATGTGGAGAAAAGAGATAAATGATTGAATGATTAATTTTAGAAAAATTCAATTTTTATTGTAGCTTTGGCATTTAATGAAATATACAAGATTCTGATATTGACATATGATTGATGATTCCGGTACTTTTTGCAGAGAACAAACAATATGAAAAATAGATGATCGAATACTAATTGATTTTTATTGTTCTACAGCAAGCGGCTTATTATCCGTCGATCGCTACGAGGGAACGTCACTTGCAGTCCACCAACTTGAACATCGGCCGTGGAATCGGTGTCAATTTGGTACAGACTAGCGGCTCGGCCGGTCTGAGCGATGAGGAGCAACAAATGAGAATTGCGAAGCGTATAGGACTGATACAGCATTTGCCGATGCGCGAGTATGATGGTGCTAAGAAGGGCGAGTGTGTCATATGTATGATGGAGCTGCTAGCAGGCGAAGAAGTGCGCTATCTGCCCTGCATGCATACCTATCACGCGGTCTGCATCGACGACTGGTTGCTACGCTCGTTGACTTGTCCGTCATGCATGGAGCCGGTGGACGCGGCATTAATTAGTTCATATCATCCGACTACTTAATACCAGAATGACGAGAGTTTTTTTGTCCGGACGGCAAATCGGAAATAAATTACCAGGCTAAACGTGAGGCGCAATTAAATAGAAAGAGAGAGAGAGAGAGAGCGAGTGAGTGAGTGAGTGAGAAAAAGAAAGAAAGAAAGAGAGAAAGTCGCTACTTTTGCTATAGAGCGTATAAAAGCTTCTGGGTAGTAGAGAGATCGCGTGTTAATGGTCCGAATGTATTTTCGTCGTTATACACGATATATACATGCGCGTGCGTGCTGTTTAATATGATAATCTCTGTCACACACATACACAGAAAAGAACACTCCCTTTTCCTGTTTCATCCAAGTATTGTTTTAGATCGTTTCCTATGAGGAGAACGAGGTGACTTGATTTCAATTAAATTCTAGTAAACATCACATCCCTAAGTTCTATTCCGTAATGAGTTTTAATCGCTTGTACATTGATTTCTTATTAGAGAAGGTAAAGTGAGGAGGCCGCTCGATGTAAGAGTGCAATAAAGCGTTGAGTAAGCCTCGCACCGATAGATAGGTATAGTTGAAACAATAAGTATATACTTAGTAACGAGATAAGAAGTGCGACACGTACGGAAATTATTATAGCCTTTGTATTTCTCGTGCGGCTTTGCGTAACGCGTCTTTTCATGCAACGTTTTCGCGTGGATGTTTGACGAGCCGGAGCAAATTGCATTTCCTTCTTTGTTCTTGCATAATCATTAATTCTTGACTATTCTATTCTCGGATAAAACAAATTAGTCGATAATCTTTCTCTCTTTAAAAATTCGACTTGGTTTTGAATGCTGACTGCGTGTGTACAGACACTACAAACTCAATGGGTTTTTTTTCTCGTCTAAAATCGTCAAGAGATTGACAGTCTTTTATATTTTCGTGACGAAAGAAAAATTGTCTCGAACGATATTCGCAACATTTTAAATTCCCCGATATCTCGCATGTTACGTAAACTGTATGAACCTTCTATCGCAACAGACATTGAACGTTTTTCATTTAGATAAACGTGTACAGAGAAAGAATGCTTCATTATATGCTACCGACGATTAGCAGTTTCTTACCGATAGTGCGGGAACATATATAGCAACGAATAAAACAAAAAAAAACAACGGGAAAGAGATAAAACGCGCGGTAAATGATCCACACATGTTGAACACTACGCTAATAATAGGCTACGTAACTTAGATTCTATTAATTTAGTGGAGCTTGTTGAACTAACTTTTGCTGCGGTTACAATAAAACAGTGGACATTTATTGTTTTGCTAAGTAAAACTCTGCAGAGACATGTACAGTTTCGCGTAGTTTCGTACGTCAGTGTATGAGATGCGATATAAAATAATTTTATTGACATGGAGCAAACATTTCAATTCGAAGAAAGAAAATGAAATTGAACATTTAATTTATGTAAAAAGAGGGAAAAAACTTAACAATACGGTACCGCTAAGTTTTTAAATGGAAAAATGATGCTGTGAAATAGTGATTTATTGACGAAGTACAGAGGTATATAAATAATGATTTAATACGCAAATATAAATATTTAGTAAGAAAAAGAAAATTTTGTGTTTCCAGAAGTCTATCTCGACACAAAATTCTTCGATCGAACATTTAAATAATTAGAGCTATATTTGCAAATTCTAAATAGAGAGTAGCGTAATTTTATAAAAAAAAAAAAAGAAAGATAAGCCAAGAAGGCTAGCGTTACAAACTTAATTCTATATGGATCTTTCTAAGGTAAAAAAAGAAGAGAAAAAAAGAAAGATATATCCGGACGGTTTGTCCCGATCAGATAAGCGCGTTACGTCGCTCTAATCAATGTACCGAACACATTATTTGCGCGATTAATCGTGGGGCATCACTGACAATCTGCCGGGCTACATTATAATCGTAAGTCTCGATAATGGCAATTGTATTTGACTTGCGTTAAGAAAGATGATAATAAATATTTGATTGGAAAAAAAAAGAGATCTCTTCTAATATTCGAATCTAATCTTCTCACCGAAAGAATTCCATAATCTCTATACATTGTAGAATTCAGAATCGATCTTAAGATTTAAGAGTAAGGCCGCTCAATCAGGGGGAGATTGAATTAAACGACACCACAATTATAAAAGTAAAAACGTGAAAATTTTAGTGTATTACATTACTTACAGAGGGAAATCTTATGTTTGAATATGTGCGCTTATAGCGTTGTTAATGTCACTATTTACAGTTACGACCATCAGAAATCTCGAGACAATTGTGAATGCACCGTGTTTTTTTCATCATTTGGAATTTTAGATTAAATATCGCGAGGTTTTTCATTTATATTTCTATATTGTCATTTGACTTCTTAACCAAATTACAACAAACCAGAGATTGCGAGATGCCTATTTCACATTGATACCTGATTTGACGACAATATAATTTTCTACGTATTACGTCTTTCCTATTTGCTGCATTATAATTTATATAAGACTAAGAAAAGATTTCTCCCTTGAAATTTCCTTCTGGATTGTTGAAAAGACATAAAACTTCGTCCAGTAAAATGTTACAAAATTGGTTCTGATGCTTATGAGATATGTACAGATTCCTCGAGTGTTTTATCAAAATACAATAAAGTTACATTTACAGGATGACTGGAAATTGTACATATAGATCGAAGTATACATATAAATACTACACTAGTGGTATACATCAATATAATGTATGTTCTTATAATGGTGCTTTGGCAGAGACGTAATTCAATAGCACCACATGAATGCAGTTTCGTTTTGAGATGTGAATTTCACCGAATTTTGCCGAATTTCTTTCTTTTCCTTCTTTTTTACTATTCTAATGCAATCACGATTGCATTATTCTCAAAACTTTGCTGATTCGTGAATGGACGGACACGTCCATCAATTTCAACTACAAAATTGACAAAATTTCGCTAAAGACTAATAAATAAGAAACGCGCTCGTCTTCCCAAGCTGCTCAAAGCAGCTCTCCAAAGGCGGGAGTGGCGAGTCAGTTCGGCCGCTATGCACTCACGGAACGATATGCGGCGATCTGTACATTATGCGTGATATTTTACAGATGGCAAAATCTATCTAAGCTCGGAAAATATTTCCACTTATACGATTTGTACACGCTCGAATGACCTAGCGACGATTCGAATCTCTCCGAACGTCTCATTTATCTTACACGAAGCTGTTAGCGTTCTCCACGTTACCCTCGTAGAAAGACTCGCATTTCTCGAGCAGACGATGAACCGGGTTAATATTATACGGAAATAGATTCTTAGACACTAATCGATCGATGGCCAGTCGTAGTCTTATCAGTACCGTCATAGTATCGTCCAATTCACGGCCGCAACACCTGACAAACTCGATCCAATTGCGCCTGATGTATTTGAGGAATCGCAGGAGATACAATAGGAAACAGGTCTCATTGCTGACCAATAGATCTAGTAGAACGTCCGGATCATGTGACACGGCGTGGATGAATTGCACGAAGGTCAATGTAGGGCTGAGCATCTGACCCAGATCATTTTGAGGCGGTCCGCGATAGAATAGACCTACGGCGACGTCTAGACAACAGACCATACCCTCGATCAGGAAGTCATCCTGGTCATGAAACATCTGTACGACCCATTGCGACAGCGGCATCTCCGGATGAAACGGCATTAGCGCTTTTACACATTGATCCAGCTGGCGCAAAACCTCCCGGATACTTCTTTCGATCACCGCCATGTCCTCATCGAGATCCTCGGCCTCAGAGCCGAGAGAGGAATCGCTGGAGTCGCTGCGCGTCTCCCGCACCGTTACGGCGACACTCTTTAGTACCAGCAGTACCATTTTCTGTAGCAAAGGACGATCACCCTCGCCGGTGCCACCGCCGAACCTGCCGGAACCGTGACGGTATGGTAACGCGTCGAGCAGACGCCAGTCCTTGACGGCACGCACGATCAAGTGCGCTAGGGAACACGGCTCGTCCGGTAATACGTCCTGTAACGCCAATGTACTACCATAACATAGAACCTCATTAAAAAGTCCAAGGAGATGTCGCCAGATCACGCCCGGAACGTTAGCATTCAGTAATAGTACGAGATTGTTCAGTTGCGAATAGAAGGGCTTGGTATCGATGACGGAAAGATTGGCTTTGACCGAGATAACGGTTTCCCATAGATGCAGGAATGTGATGACGACGGACGCGTGTTGCGGCGTGTACGCCGCGAGGATGTCGTTGAACTTGGAGACGAGAATCGTCCACTTGGATTCGAGCGCTTTCACGCACATCGCTTTGATCGCTGTGCTGTCAAAATCGGTAATAACAAATGTGTTGCAGCCAGGTGGTGGCGTGGACGCGTCCACCTCCTCCAATGGGTGTATACTACAGTCCTTGTGTTCGACCACTCGTTTCACTACGTCCAGGGTGAACAGCATCTGACTGGGCGAGTGCGTATTCACTAGGGATTGCGTGAGCCTTTCCAGCCATGCGACCTCGACATTATCCCTAGTGACGATGAAAAACGACGCAAGCACGCGGCTTGCTGTATACGATATAAATTTATTGGTTGTACAAGACAGGTCGATGATCTGATCAACGATGCCATGTTCATTTCGCGCTATCGCGTCGCACACATCCACCACTCGTTTGCACATGACGTTTTTCGCGTTCTGCCGGATGGCTAGATCGAATAACAATTGCAGCGCGGTCAAATATTCTAAGATCTGATCTGTATCCCAGTCAGAGAGAACAGCGTAACGGACGCTTCCATTAGCCTCTTCCACTGTGAAGTTAGTAAAGGGTTTGCGCAGGCTGCTCTCTGGCATATGGCATAAACACCGCGCGAGCAAATTCTTCTGCAACTCCTCAATATCGGCAAGCCCGTTCTTGGCACTCGCGCTAATCTCAATGCGCTGCTTCTTCTTAACTGGCTCCTCCATTACGTCAACAGGAGGACAACAGCAACTGGGCGCAGGAGCACCATGAATTCTCATCAAGTTAATTCTCTCATGTGGATGCCTGTATCAGTTCAACGCAGTCAGCAGACAAGCAAGCCCATTGAGAATACCTGTTGTGAAAGAAGACATGTAAATATTTGCATAAAACTGAATATTCTGAAAATCTATTCTTTTTAGCTAAATCTTTTGCATGGCTCATTTTTGCTTTTGCTCGCCATTTGAATAAACAGTAAAAATTTGGCTAAAAAGAACAGGTTTAAAATAAATAATATAAGACAATCCACTCATCTGTGATTCTAATTGGGAGACTCACAATGGTATAAGCTACATTTTGGACATGAAATGATTCATATTTTTTTTCTCTTCTAAATGTTCTCCATTTAGTTTCATAATAAATGACTCAGATATTTAGTTTACACCAAGAAATATCAAGACTTGTTTTTCCTTGGCTTGTTTTCCATTGCTTTCCATTGCACGATCAGGTTATGCCAACTTACATCATGATTTTCAGCCTCCGAATCATTACCACGCGATCGCATACTTTAATTACTTTTTCTATGATTTTTTTTTCTTTTCCTATTTACATTATCATGGATATATATTTTCATGCGAGTGCCAAATGTCCTTGGATACGCAGCAACGCGGCAGAGGCACGGTAGACGATGACTGGTGTGTAACACCAGAAGCCAGTAAGCAACAGGCGAACTTACAGCATTAAATTTCCACCGCGTTATCTTCGTCGAGGGACGAAGAGGACTGCTTCCTGGTTCCAGGATGGTGTCGCAAGCGCAGCCGGGGTATCCGCGCTCATGCACGCATCCCCTGGACCGCGATGCGATCGACGATGCTGCGAATCACGCGAGCTCGAGATCGGCGTTGACGCTCGTTGAGGACGGAGGGGGGCTGATTCTCAACTCGCACCTGCAGCGAATACGAGAATCTCACTGGCGCAGATCGGCAATGCCGATCTCGTAATCGTCGTCGTCGTGCTCAGGATTCCGACGAGAGAATCCGATACGTGCGAGGGAACCGCGGCGTCGCGCGTCCCTTGGCGTTCCGTCCTCGTTCCCGTCTCAGTCTCCGTACCGTCACGTCGACGGGCACGGTGACGTTCTCGTGCGGCGAACGTTGCACGCGGGGCACGCGGTTACCGTCGTAACCGACTCGGTACCGCCCCGACGGGACTTCTCTCCCGACTAGGAAGTGACACACACACACACACATAGAGCGCACAGCGCTCGCACGGCAGCGGCCACACTCGCTCTGTTGCCACGTATACGAGGTGCTACCGACGGCGACGGCGGCGACGAAAAATCACGCGAAGACACGTGCGTTCGGCGAACGGCGATGCTCGGGCGATCCTGGACGAGCGTCGGCAGTGGCGCGTATCGTGCCCTGTGTCAGGCGGCGAGACGTCGTGCCCGCGGCCTCGTCGCACGCACGTATTCCGGTCCGTTGGCGTGCCTCTACGGCCGGGCATCGTGCGGAGCCGCGTAACACGGTAGCTGTCCGTCGCGCATTCCATAACGTACTGAGGGGGCGGTACGCGGTGCTTCCGCGCGGCCAATCGCGCGCGGACGCGCACGCCGTCGTGCGTGATGTTCCGCGGGCGCGAAATACGTCGCTTATCGCGAATAAAAGTCGCCCGGAACGAAATGCCATGCGATAAATAAGCGCGCGATAATCGGCAACTCAGCGTCGATCGCGGCGCCCTCGCCCGGCCGTGTCGCTCGAATGCTGTAGCGGGTGATTTGAATCGTAAACCGAAGATCGGTACTCGACACGATTTTAGTCTTTTAATTCGCCTCTGCTTAATTAAATTCTAATTTTTAATTCTCACATCTATTTCTATCAGCGTAGATTAACTTTGATCTCGATTTAATTTACACCTCTATTTTGACCTAATTCTTGAAATTAAAAAAGGATACAATTCGTCTATGTTAATAGAAGCGTAGGCTGATGTTGGCTTTAGGATCAATTAATTTAATCCATTATAACGTTGGCAAGATTTCTAAGGGCCGTTTCATCGAAATTATAATTAATTTAATCGGCAATTAATTTAATAAAAGATTATTAATTCGGAAATGGCGATTCTCAAGGGCGCGTGTGCGACGGACTCGCGATGTGCGCGCGCATCCCGGAAGCGGAGGCGACGCGCGTTTTTTTCCTCACCTATGAAGCGGCAACCGTGCACGAGTCGAGACTCAGAGCTCGGAGCTCGGAACGGTCGTCGGTGTAATCGGAAAATGGCGTCGTCGAAAAGCCAACGGTGGATGGTAGACTCGGGCATTCTCCGTAAAAAGAATAACGACGAGGAACCGCAGGAGCTGTTGGTGTTCGGATATAGCTGCAAATTATTTCGCGATGATGACAAGGCGAAAATGATTGATCAGGGAAAGCATTTGATACCATGGATGGGCGATAACACGTTGAAGATAGACAGGTCCGTTCCTCTAACCTAGACAAATTTCTCATCTAGGATATTTGTTCTCATACATAAGACTACGCACCGTTAACGTTGCGTTTCCCCGATCGACGAAACGTAACAAAAAGACTGACTCTCTCCGTCCGAAAAAAAAACGAAATTCGCAAAAAAAAAAAAATCAAAACCAAGTACTGCATTTAGAAGCGAAACGGGGCGCCACCCCCTCTCCCTCTCATCGTTAATCTCTGGATAAGCAAACTGGAGACTGTTTAAGGCTTCCGCAGGTGTTCTCTCTATCACTCTCGGCTGCAGTGTGGCAGCGCGATTTACGCGCTCTGCACGGGCGCAGAGTCAGGTGCTCTGGTGAGACGTGACGCTTATGGCTGGCCGTCTGTGCAGCAGCAAGGTGAGACACGGCGTTGAGAGACAAACGGCAGCTGACGGTTGTAGGTATTATACGACCGCTCAGCACGGTATGTATTGGCACGTTAGATTCAGCTTTGCCTCGGGAAGCACGTAGGGTCTTGCAAATTTATTTATCATCAGATCTGCCCTTTTAATCAATGTCACTTTTATCAACAATATTGAATTATGTCTATGTTTACTATTTTTTACCGCGCAAAGATGTAAGGATAACAGGATAAATTCGTATCTGTTACACTCAAGAAATTTGAGAATATGAACAAATATTTGTTACAACTTAAAAAAATCAGTATGAAAAATCAGTTGTGTTATTTGAAATAATTGTTAAGTTATGTTTCTAAAAAAAATGTTTATTCACGTTATTAGAATATATCGATATCCTGTAAAAGTAATAGCAAAGATAGAAACATTGCTCGAGGCGTTTTCTACAGCTCTGTTCTATTTCAGAGAAATCACTTTGGTGGGACTTACTCCTTGACTTAACATTTCTACAGATGCTGTGGCCAACTGTACATGAAAACATTTAAAACGATATCATCTTCCTTCTCTAACAGGTGTATTGTATGTGTATAGATACGATGGCCGAGGGGCACTGGCTGACTTATGGATTCATGAGCCACCACCAGGTGGTTTCGATCAGAGGACGATACTTACTGAGGAAGAACTGAAAGTAGAGCAACTCTGTGACGAGGAGCGGTATCGATCTCTCTACAACAATGATGCAGAAGAGTCTATGTATCATGGTAATATATCTTTCTTTCTAAGGTTTTAATTTTTAATTACATTTTTTTCATTTATTATTTATCGTAGAAGAGGAGATAAAGAGGTTGCATCAAGCACTGGATTCCGAACCTTCGTACAATCAAATGGGGTATAATTACAACGAAGATGAGAATGGTCACAAAGCTTCCGGCGAGGATTCTCAAAGCCCGAAACAATCGGAGGGCTCGCAAGAGGAAGATCAGGCGTTCGTACCGCCTCCTGAACTGGAAATTCCCGAAGGAATGGTCCTGGTAAGATTTTGCTTCACATTTATTTTATTATATTTGCAAACTTGATTGGATAATGATATTAATGTTGATAATAATGTTTTTATGTTTAGCCCGAAACACAAAAACTGAATGCCATTATAACGAAAACGGCGCTGTTTATAAGTCAACATGGAAGCCAATTGGAAATCCTGATAAAGACGAAACAAGCAAACAATCCACAGTTTGCGTTCCTATCGATAGATGAGCCGCTCCATCAGTATTACAAATATGTCCTCGATGCTATCAAGAGTGGAAAATATAATCCTGAAAAGCAACCTGAAAAAGAAGAAACTGGTACGCATATTATTTTCTAATAACAAGCGATGTCTTATAGTAATTATATTGAAGTTGAGTTGAAGTAATTGAAGCGACATAAAACAGGATTTGATTACCCACACCTACTTTGATTCTACTTAGTTTTTCTTGCCGTAAGTATTGCTATAAATTTTTGTTAATAATCTAATTGGTAATCTACATACGTAATCTACCTTAATAATTCTGAGATGCGCGTGAGACTCATTGTTATCCTTTTTTTCTTGATAGTAGAACCGGAGGAAGAGTCAGACCAAGATGACGAGCCATACCTACATCCGAGTCTCGCGTCATCACTTACGAAGATTGAAGCGGTACGTTTTGCACGGTAACACATGTCATTTTGCACGTTGTACATTAATCTGTTCTTAAAAATGCATAAGCGATCCCTGCGCTCTCATGCGGAAGAATTTTATGTTCGGGTAATTTGAAATGTGGAAGATCCTAGCTGGACCACACTGAATTATTTTTAAGAATGGCAATCTCAAAATTCACATGGATCACAATAGGACGAAATGTAAAATAATACTCTGCAACACTAATTTATGTGTCAAATATTTCTGCTTCCAGGGCTGATTCTGGTATGCATTGGACCTACTCTCATACATTTTTTATTTATTCATTTATTACCATTTAAAGTATTGATTCTTTTCACACGCGTGCGATATTTCAGAAATGCAATAAACGTTGTTTATTATTATTTTTTCCTTTCATTATTAATAAAAAAATATTTACGGAATTTAATTAAATACTCTTAAAATTTGCAAATATATAATGCAATTATTTTTAAACTTTTTGAAACAATCTCGTTTTCTGCTGTTTAAATTATTCTTATAAAATTTTAAAGATTTATAATTATAAATACAGTATAAATATAACAATATCTCGAATATTGTCCTTAAAAAATTTTCACTATGATGGATACTGTAGAAAATAATATAAATTAAGAATTAGCTAAATGTGAGACTACTATGAGAGAATTATTTCCATTTATAGGCACCTAGTATACCGAGCATACAGTACAAACCATCGGCGGATTGCGCGTATTCCATGCTCGTGAACAAGATCACAGGGAAACCACCACCATCCAAGGCACCGCAGATATTGGACCCGGCAATGCAATCGATGCCATCTGCTGGATATTATCATCCAGTACCACCCCAGGTATAATTTTAGCAATAGTAGAATACATAAAAATTTAACCAAGCATTTTAATATCAATTTCATTGTTTTTACTATATTACCATTTTCCATATTCCAGAATTATCCTCCTTATCCTACACCCATGCAGTACTCACACGGTCCGGTTATATATGGATCAAATGGACAAGTTCAATCGCCCTCGCAACTTGCTATACCATCCATATTAAACGATGTGACAACTATGCAAGCTGCCTCGCCCAAAGAGGCACCCACACCGTTGGTACCATACGGGATACCTGCGCAAAAGCCTTTGAGCAGGCCGTCTTTTATCGTACCACCGGCGGACATTCAAATTATCATCGATAAGATGGCGAGTTACGTGGCAAAGAATGGACGCGACTTTGAAACAATTGTCAAGAATAAGGGAGATCCTAGATTCAATTTTTTGGAGTTGTCACATCAGTATCATGGTTATTACGCGCACAAGCTGACTGTATACGAGGGCGCGATAAATCCAAAGGTGTTGACGGAGGAGCAGTTGTTGCAGAAACAGGAACCGCAAGAAGAAAAGCAGAAAAAGTTGGAGGAATTGCAGAAGAAACAACAGCGGATGGAGGAAGTGCAAAAGCGAGTGAAGATGATACAGGCGAAGAAGAAGAACGGCGGTGACACGAAAGGGAAACAAAGCGCGGGATCCGCGAAACAGATCACTACTGTGTCGTTCTCCATCAAAAAGCCGAAAGATGGAGAGAGTACGGTAATTGAAAAAAGAAACGCGTTACCATTGGAAGAAAGTGACGAAGAAGCGGAGGATGACAGAAAAGATGCCAATTCGAAACCAGATTCACCTCAAGATAGTACAACCGATCCGAATTTTTTGATTGCTGTCGGAGACAAGGACTTACCGAAATCGGAAAAGAAACCAAAGAGCGAGGATAAAGAGTTGGTAGATTTGACGGACGATATTCTCGAAGATTGTCAAAAAGAGATCAGACATAAGCAGGCTCAAGAAGACAGGATTAAGGATAAGCTGGCAGCGGCCGCGCGGGATAAACTACTTTCCAAGGAACGGCAGTTGCAGCTCGAGAGAAAAAAGAGAGCTGCTATATTTCTCAGTCACATCCAGACGCCAGCACTTAAGACCGGTTCTACTACCACTACAATGAATTCAAATTCTCGAAAAGACGATTCAGACGAAGTACATTCCGTGCCGTCGCCAACTCTTGATGATAACAAGGACAAGTCCTCGCAAGATACGAAGACATGTAGTAATTCACTTATGGACCGATTGAAGAGCGCAGATTTGAGCGGCAAGAGATCGCGGCAACGCTCCAGAAGTCGGAGCGGAAGTCGCTCGGATAGGCACAAACTACATAAGAAGCACAAGAAAAAGAAAAGTTCTCACCGAAGGTAAATAAAATTATCCAATTATAAAAATAACAACATGAAGCTCAACATTTTAATATTTATTTAAAAACAGCATACTCATTGTATAATTACAATAAATTACTTAGCTAATTTTTTTTTTAATTTTTGCACTCTTTAATGCTAAGCTCACAAAATATATATTATGTTTCAGCAATTATGATAGTTCGAGTTCTTCTCGCTCGCATAGATCCAAGAAAAGCAAGAAATCATCTTCGCGACATAGATCCCGTTCGCGCAGTCCCTCGCACAGACACCGGCACAATTCACGACGGCGGGAAAGCAATACGAGTTATTCGGACTCCAGTTCGCCTTGATGACATCTCTGCTCGATTCAAATGAATTTACATTAATGTATATACGTACATACACATATATTATTATTATAGAAAATGTATATCATAATGACGTACATATTGTAATGACAAATTTGATACGATTTTTGTCACCAAAAACGCAACAAAATTTACTCTTCGATCTTTCATGTGTTTGTACGTTTGCAATCTTCTGCGTCTCTTACACATATATCTTTCTCCGTATTCCATCGTACATTCTTCCCGCGCATATTTAATATATTTATAAATATCTATGTTTTATAGATATCTGCAAAGTGAGTTTGTGCGTAAACGTAAATTATTCCAAGCGCCACATGAAAAAAACATCAAGTTTACGATGAATTGCAGAATAACATTTTGAACACGCGCTAAAAAGTTTCCTGATTGTCGTATGAGCTGATATTATGCAATATCAAAGGTTATCAAATTGGATATTTCCACATGTTGCAAATACTACGTTTCTTGTCCAAGGAATGCGAATGTTACCATTTCTTTATCGTCCTGTCGTTTAGTGCGCGACAACATCAGATCGCCAAATTCTTAAAGATCTAGAGGCACCACGCGCAACTCATAAACATGTGGCAATTGAATCCACTTACCGTGAAATGGTATCAATTATATTATATATTTGACATCAATTCGCACGTCGATTGTGTCGACTATCAGTCGATCATCTCGACAAACCGATTCGGTTTAACGCAGCTAAATGAACTATTTATAACATGCGTCTATTATCAGTACATTATAAATTGCTGATTTATGAATAGAATTTAGAAATTTTATTTTTAGATGTGCTATTATCGGCATCTGATTGTTTTGTTTTGTCTTGCGTTTGTTAAAAAAAGAGAGCAAACTAGTATTGCTCTAAAAATTATTAAAAATCATTAGGTACTTTTTAAAATTCTTATTAGAATATATTATTATAATATTTTGTCATTTTGTGGAATTCGCTGTTTTGTTCAATTAACCAGCGGACGAATATGAACAAGACATTCATTGAAAACAAATGGCAGAAATAAAGAAATTTCCGATCGTAAATTTTTTTCAAAGCGTTCATAGAGCTGCATCATAATTTCTTTCGTCATATAAAGAGTGTCATTCATGACCGACGATAAATGATATCCTTCTATATCAGTTTCGGCACAATTTCTACATTATCGCGATAATTAGCGTATTTTGTTTTTAATGCAACGTCATTTACTTATCTAAGAAATTAACTTTGACTTGAATCGATCGTCGGAAATTTTTCAGCAACTGAAAGCGATCTTAGATATATTTCAATAATTTTATTACATCGCATATTAAACGAAGATCGAACTAAATTTAATTAATGCAACGACTTGCACGTTGGAGATGAAGATTGGAATCTGATAAAAATTTATGACAAATTCATCCAATTTGTAGTATTCGTGTTCACAATAGTCTGGCATCGTGTAATAAGGAGGGGGATGTGATAGATAGTAGCAATGTGATTTGACATTTGTGCTTACAACCCCCACCACTGCTACTTTGAAACCATCAAGCGATATGGAGATCAAGGGTGAATTGTCTTCGACTTTATAAGTTAAACTCACAGTTCACAGGATAAGTCAGACGGCGGTTGCATTTTCACTAGTGATCGAACAATCATCAGTGACCATAGAATGTCTGCCACAATAACTGTAAGTACATCTCAATTTCGCTTCTAATGAATCGAACTCGATATTTAACAATGTAATATATTAAAAATACTTCCTAAAATATTTTATTATTTTACATTTTTTTATAAATTATTATTATTTTATCAATTTTTAAATTTAAAATTTAATATTGATGCGTGCTTGAACAAATACTAAATTGTTGTAAGATTATTTCTAAATTTACAATTTTATCATTTTTTTAATTTTTTTAAATAAATTATATAAATTATTATGTATTAAATATATAAGTCGAAATTTTTTTTCGAATACAGTTTATTTTGCGTTATAAAAACTTGTGCGATGTACTTTACAATTTGCATCACGAGCCAAAGATATTTGTGTTTAAAAAAAGAATACACTATTACACAATACATATTGATTTTTATCATGATTTATACACATTACAAATCCTCTTTTATGTCGTGTAAATAAAATTTCCATAAACACGTGGTTCCCGTTTTCCGCGTGTGTGTATTAGACAGATAAGCGCTGACGCACAATAACGAAGATTTTTTTTTATTAATCTTTCGCAATACATCTCGTATTAATCTTCAGAAAAGATTATGAGTTTGGTTTCATGATATTTTGAAATCTCCAAGAAAGAAAAAAATAGATCGTCAAATTTTACATATTTTACATCTCTAAGAGTAAAAAAAAATCACATGGACATCATATAGTTCTAATGAGTTTTCTTACAAAAATAAATTAATAGAAGACTCGTTATTTGTAAAGCAATATAGAACATATAAACTTTAAGAATAAACAAAATAAAGATGGAAACCCAAATTTTTATTAATAATTTATTCTCTAATGAGAGAAAATTTTCAATCTTTATCTATCTTCATCAGCATAACATAAAAATCATAAAATAATAAGGAAATATAATGATTATGCATAATTTTATTTGAAGGTATAAAATTATAAATATTTAACATTTTATGATATAATTAGGTCATTGATCTAACTAAATTTAACACAAAAAAGTATTTCATTTATTATGTGGTATGCGTTATGCTAACATAAACTTTTATCAATATTCGTTCCGTTTCATTAGTTAAACATGATACAATATATCCTATAGTATAACAGTGACTCATTATTTTTTTTTACTTATAACACAGTAGATGATTCATCTACTTTTTCATATTTGGCTTTACTACGGCTTTACGAGGATTTTTTGGATTCTATATATATTTTTCTATACATTAATGGAAGATAGCCATAAAAATTAAAATATATGAATATTTTTATATAAAAATCAGATTTTCAAAGTATAAAATACAAAAACTATGTTTTTATACAAAGTGTCTCAAGACCACTGAATGTCCTTTTAAGAGTGAATTCTTTGGAATATTTTAAGACGAAAATCCAAATATGAAAATGTCGAAGCTATAATAATTTTTAAATTATCAGCGATTGAATTTCACGAATAGAATATGATATTTCGCGCGCTCAAGCATGATGTTATGATAAGTAATAAAAGTGGTACCATCTGTAACAACGTCATATAAATATGCAATGATATTTTTATTAAGAAATTATTTCTGCTTGTATATTTCTATACGGAACCTATTTGTACATTACATTTGTACATAATTAATATATCAAAAAATATCAATTTAATAGCGAGATATTGTGGCACGTGTCAAAATAAATTCACAATGTTCACCTTTATTTCGTACAGTATATAAATTTTTTAATGATAAATATTTTAATGATAATATCGTAGTAGATAACTGAATTGATTATACTTTATAGATAATCGCTAATAATTTAGAAACTATTAGTTACCTCGATATTTTTTTCATATTAAGATTTTCATCTTAAAATATTCCAGAAAGAATTCACTCTTAAAAGAATATCCTAGTTTTGGGACATCCCACACTTAATAAAAAAATATATTTAATAAAAAAATACGAATATAAAATAAATCAAATAAATGCACACAAAATGTAATTACTGCAATAATTTATTAAACATATAATTTATAAAGGAAATAACTAGAGGCACAAATTTATTCTTTTGTAGCAACAAAGCCATGGCCACGTTTCATTGCTGGATCCATCGGAGCAGCTTCGACCTGAACCAGTATATTCCGGAAAGCTACAGAGGGAATTCCGTAATTTCGAAGAGGATTCTGAGGATCCCATCAAGGAACGTGTCCGCAAAACTTACGAAGAAATGCACACCAATCAAACTGTCGAATTCGTGAAATGTTAGTTAGCTAGTAATAACAAAGGGAAATTATATATTGTTATATGCTTTTATATTTTATTTACTTTTATAGCTTTTACTTGATTTGTTTTTTGTTGTTGCATTGTTTTGAATATGTGACTTAAAATATAAGAATAAAATAGAGAAAAAATGTTAGAAATGTTGTTTTTCTTACAGCTCGCATGAGAGATTGGCTCCGGTTTAATAAATTCAAAATGACAGTGAAAGATGCTCTGCTCAAACTAAACGATCTCGTGGACGAGAGCGACCCGGACACAAACATGCCTAATATCATTCACGCGTTTCAAACTGCGGAATCTATCAGAGAAAAGCATCCAGACTTGGACTGGTTCCATTTCACCGGCTTAATTCATGATCTTGGCAAGGTGAGACAAAATGTAAAAATATATTTCAGTAAATAATTAGTTATATTAACCTATATAAATCTTTTAAATAAACAAGATGTTTCAAAGAAAATGTTTTGCAAAAATAATATGTGTAAAATGAACATTCTTTTCCGATCTATGTATATTAAACTATTAAACATTATCATCATATAATCGATCAACATGATTGCAGGTGATGGCTTTTTATGGAGAACCCCAATGGGCTGTAGTGGGTGACACATTCCCCGTCGGTTGCGCCTGGGGTGATTCCATCGTATACAGAGCGACGAGCTTTGACAATAATCCCGATGGCAAAGACTCACGTTATAAGTGAGTACAAATAATCTCTTGATAGATTTTTCATCACCAAGCAAAAAATATCCTTTAAAAATATCCTTTAAAAAAATGATGCGAAAAAATGTAAAATATTAAATATAATATAACGGAAATAATATAAATAAGTATTTCTGATGCAAATCAATTTGATAAAAAAATATTATCTCAAAATACTATCATGTACTGAGTAATTTTATATATATAATTATGTTTTTATATATATAATTAATTTTATACATTATAATTAATTTTAATAATTGAGTAAGGAAAAATGTATATATTTTTAATTACTTGTAACATTGATGTAGAATTTGTAATGTTTTACATAGCAGGGACAAAAATTTTGATATGTTAAAATAAAACAACTGTGTCAAAAATTACGTATTACATTGGATATATTTTTATTACAGCACAAAATATGGCATGTACAAACCTAAGTGTGGAATATCCAATTTGATGATGTCATGGGGCCATGACGAATACTTGTACCGCTTACTCGTGCACAATAAGAGTAAATTACCGAAGGAGGCTTTGGCTATAATTCGGTTTCACTCTTTCTACCCCTGGCATGCCGGAGGTGACTACATGCACTTTTGCACTCCAAAGGACTTGGAAATGCTGAAATGGGTGGTGGAATTTAAGTAAGTTAAATGTCACGATAATCTGAATGCAGTGAAATATAAAACAATCTAAAGCTAATTGTTTCAAGCGATCTACATTCAATTATTGAACATAAACAATAAGAATTATTCAATTTATAATAAAATTCAAATAATAATAAATTCTAATCAGAGTTAAGTTATTATTATTAGAGTTAGAAAAATATAATATTAGTGATTAATTTTAACTAAAAATTGTTACAGTAAATTTGATCTTTACACTAAGAGCGGCGCCGTTCCAGACATTGAGAAATTATGGCCCTACTATGAGAAATTGATTGATAAATACCTCCCTGGTGTAATTGAGTGGTAATCTTTATTCCAATTGTATATATTCGTAATTTGATACTTAATATATATAGTATATTAATATGGCATTTTAAATGACGATTGTTACGTGCGAATAATATGATTTTATTTTATTGCAAAATGTATGTTTTATTTATGTTGGCATACGAAGAATTTTCTATTTTTATAAGATTTTTATATATATATATATATATATATATATATATATATATATATAAAGGCTACATTTTTATATCAGTATAATATTTATATTATATACCGATACCGATTTTATTCAATAGATTTTATTAAAATACACTTTATTAAAATAAATTAAACAACATTAAATAAAAGAAAAGTCAAATTCAACAACATGTCTGGCAATTCAACTGTACATGTCTGGAACTTTATGTTATATCTTCTCGATAAATATAATTCGCGGTGCTTTGAAAGAAAATCTGACATCCCCACTGTGAATTACTATATTGTTATTCGTAATAACCGACCGACGCATTCTTCCGCGATTCCCGCACGCGATTCGCGGAGCGATCGCGCTCACGCCGGTTCCGAAAACGCACGCGGCTTTTTAGGCGTATAAAATTGATTAAGCTTACACGTTGCCCAGCGCGATAATAAAGATCGCGGTTGTCTCGATTAGATGAGTAATCCGACCGTTAAATGGTACGCGCGAAGGGGAGCTTGATTCACGCGGGCCCGACGATACTTCGAACGAAGAATTCGTTCTCCAGGAACTGGTTTGCTCACTTTTATCAGCGTATTCGCGCACGTAAGGTAAATCGCGCGTAAGGTCACCCGTTAATAGCCATAATCTGTAATTAAATGGTACAAGAGCTTAAGGATAATTAATTCGATCTGAAAATAGAGATCGTTTTATTATTGGTACGATAACGATCGTAGGTAGACCGTTCATTATGACTGTAACAGCCGTGTTTGGCGAACGAAGTGAGAAATCTAAATTTCTATCCTGTTGAAAGACCCGATAATTTTCGATTACATAATGTATAATATATTGCGTGTAAAATATAATTTAAACAACATTATATATAAGCCATAAGAAAAGCCGAATTCAACAATTGTACTTGATCGCATGTTATTAATCGCGATATATAAAAATTTTTTTATTTGAAAGTTTTTTGAATTGCGAAAGCGTCCAAAGCACAATTACGTAAGATGATATAGTTAATGACTCGAGCGACGAGCTTTCTCGCGCGTTGTCACACTTATGAATACGGGAAAAGCTGAACTTTCGGCACTGCCTAGGAAGTTTTCAATAAACCGGACAATCTACTGTGCTCCATGGTTTCCGATAAACTAACAGCGTTGCATTGTCATAATGGTGCCTCTTTATCACGACTACGTGACAGGAATGTCTCATCTTGCAGTTATATTTTCATAGTGTCCGTGCCTTCGCGTTGCGTCCAGAAGTTTTCAGATTGTACTTCGCGCGACATCCTTATAAGTGTAAAACACGTGAAAGCGTCGCGGAGAAACCAGGACAACGATTTAGAGATAGAAAGAGCTTGCACAGATACGTTTTGAGGGTAATTGAAGCTGGATTAGCGCGTGAATTAAAGAAATTAAAGCGTGAGATTTTACTACGACGACATCGATATGTCTTTTAAAAATATCCTCTCTTCAATCTGACATTCGATTTTCTACTTTTTAAATTGAGATTGCTATTTCGGTAATATTTCAAAGACAATTGAGACTCGATTTGCATGAATTAAAAAAAACAACAGATTTAACTTAACGAAGACCTCGATATGTCTTTTAAGGAAGCTATCAACAATATCTTCTCTTCAATTTTATATTTGATTTTAATCTAATTTTTAAATTGAGGGCTGCTATTTTAATTAATATTTCAAAGACGATTGAAGTTCGATTCATGAATTAATGAAATCAAGCTTAAAATTTGGCTACGAAGACCTCGATATGTTTTTTAAGGAAGCCGTCAAAAATAACTTCTCTTTGATATTCGATTTTAATTTTATATTGAATTATTTAATATTTCTAAAACAATTGGAGCTTTATTCATAACTGAAAAACTATAGTTTTATTAGGATTATTATAAAAATTTTTTATTTTAAATTGTCGAAAATAATTTCTCGTTGATGTGTTGATTCTATTTTAATCTATTTTATTGTTAAAATATTTTATCACTTGAAAAAGGCCTTGTTAAGGACGTCACTGCGACTGCTGGGTAATCCTCATAAATCATTAGCCATTACATCTTTTTAAATTTATTATGAGATGACCTTTACGGATGAATATTCATATAAAAAAAGTATTAAATGCGCGATAACCTTTTGGTAAAAGTTACGAGGAATTAAACCAGCATTTCTCTCTCTTAATCTCTCTCGTAGAGTACCTGTGTTCGATAGGCTTGTTATAACGAGCGGTTCGATCGATCGTCGTTGTTTTTGTACGGGGTAATTGTCGGTTGCGTTTAACAAGCGAATATGCACACAAAGTGCACGTGAGATATCTGCGAGACATACATTCTAATCCCATTGTTTCACAATTACGCGACGGCCAATATAATCGCCGCGCGCCTTGCGCACACGCACAGATTTTTATTTATCTCAACCTCCACGCCTCTCGTGATTTTAGGCTCTGAATTAATCTCTAATTAATCCACGACAAAAATTGATCGCGGCTAATCCCTCCTGTCCGTAGGCAATAGATAAATATTCATGAACCGACCGCGAGACGCGTGATCCACGACTTCGCCTCGCGAGAAGCCCCGTCCCAAATTAAAGAGCTTCTTTTTCTCGATCGTAACGTGAACGAGAAAGAAAGAAAATTTCGTCTCTCACGTTTTTTTATATTTTCACGGTATGTACGGGTCTCTTGCGTATGCGCGAGGTCTCTTAAACCCCGACTCCGCGTGGCGATTCTTACGATCGCCAGTCGTTGTGCGGCTCGAACGATCGGGAATCTGAAAGGCCGTTATTGTTTAATTAATGACTACGCGCCTCGTTAACGAGGTGAAATTATTCCGGCGTATCGCCCCTGAGCCGCGGCTTATTAACGAATCGACCGATCGCGGTCCGCCCCCGGGGATAATTGTCGGCTTTCCGTTTCTCAACATCTCGCGACGTGCGTTTCTCGCGAGAGACCGCGAAGGGAGAAGGGCGACCGGCGAAGGGTCGCCTCCCTTCACCGATCTGGGATGCGCGCGCGATGTAATAAAAGGCCGACAGGTCGGCGTGGCCATATAGTTACTCAACCTGAAACGGGGTTACATCGATCTTCCGATGTGTGGAGGCGTGTAACCGTGAAGTCACGGACATGTTCGATCATATATATATATACACACACACATACGTACGCATATTCATTCGTGGTCGTGTATATGTAAATGGATGGGCCGCTCGTTTCATTAATTTCCGAGTTAAATTTATCACATATAAACATGTAATTGAAGTCGGGATAGTTTTATCGAATCATTAACGCGCTCGCGAGAAGATAAGTTCTTCGGTGTGTACGGTAATTAATAAAAGACTTCACAATAAGTAATTGTTTTTCGACGATGTCTTGTTAAAGCATTATAAGCAAATTAAATTTTGAGGAGTTGACGAGTAAATTCTTTTTAAATTCGCGGAAAAGAAAGGTAAAAAACTAAATTTCTCACGACAGCATCTCGTGAAGACTTCGAGGACGCGATCGGGATCGTGTTCAAACGTTGGGGCTTCTTTATTTTTAATAATCCATCGGCATTTGTCGTGTCCCTTGCGTCCAAATTACAATGAAACCCTGAAACTCGCCTCTCGCAGCCCCGCCGACTTCCGCTTATGTCGCGTGGCTTCTCGTTGCGTGATTCCTCGTCCTCGTCAGGATTCCTCGGACCGTTTGAATGACTTCCGGCGTTCCATTAGAACGCATTCTTGCGACAAAATAAAGTTAAACGTCGACATTTAAACAGGAAATAGATAAATGATATATCATTAAAAAAATAATGAAAATAATTAGAAACATAAATTTACAATTAATACATAATTAGTAAAACATTACTGCTTATGCGTTATTAATATTAACAATATAAATAAATGTATAAATAATTAAATTATTGTTAGAAACTTTACAAATATAATACAAATATCACAGATGCTGTCGAATGAATTTCTGGTCATAAGAAATATATATTAATGATAAAAATATTATTGAAATATATTAATAACTATTAACATAAAATTTATCCCAGATGTAATATTTATAAAACTGCAAGACTCGTAACGTCCTAGACCTTCGTATCTATTTCCTCCAGAATCCACCTCCGCGTTCGGGGTGTCGATCGAGCGACGGGGAGCGATAGGAATCATGACGAAGCGTAGGTGGGAGCCGATAGATCGTTTCCCCGGGGGCACTCCTATGGACGCAGGTGACTTACCTGGAAGTCCAATTAGAGGCGATTCCATGATGGGGAATGAGCGAGCGAGCGAGCGAGCGAGCGGCCGGCTGTGAGTACGCATAAACGCGCGGGGCGCGGGCGATTGCGATCGCGAGAACGAGAGAGGAACCCACCCTCTCCCCCGCTGAGCTAACGCCGGAGCTGC